GCTCGAATCTCCGGCAGATACCGTGAATATGATACCGAACAGTTGCGTGTCTTCTTTCTTGAAAGCATTAATACCTTCCCTGGTTGGTCAGCGCACGTTTCGTCTCGCCGGGCGTACGGGGCATTTTCTTGATTTTGTCGGCGTGTCCTGTGCCTTACAGGTCCTTCCTGCACCCTCGGCTTCCTGGCCACTTCGCTCGGTTTCTCAGTTGGGCGATTACCGTTGATGGTTGAGTCGCACGGTCGCAAAGCACGGTGGGTCGACATGGAACTTTAAACGGGCCTCCCTTCCGTTGTTGCCTCGTCGGTCTATATTTGATCGTTGTTCACCAAGGGTGGTTAGTTTCTTCTGCGCCTTGTTTTCTTTTTCCAGTGCTGCCTTGTTTTCTCTTGCACGGTCGATCTTGATCCTCATTTGTGTGGAAAGCATCCTCTTTGTCCAGTCGTCCCTCTATTCCTGTCGGTTATTGCGGCGGATTGTCCTCAACAAGGTCTTTGTGATCATGTCTTCTGGTTCATCGCACTCTTCGAGAAAACTTGTGGGGACTTCTTTACGCTTACATACGCATATTTCGAGCAGGATCACAATGGTTCCCCTAGACTATTGTTGTGCCCCACTCGGCATTTTTTCTCGTCCTCCATCACACTTCTTGAGACTCTTGATGATCTGGTGGCCATATCTTGAGCGCGTAGTCCGAGCCGCTAGGCATTGAAAATTACACGGAAGAAGTGTGACGCAACCAAATACCGGTTGGCCCCCAAAAGACTCTCTCCCAAATATGTTTCCGGCGTATCCTGCTCTTGGTGCCGTCTCCCTCCTACGTACGCGTTTGCGGCCGGTGCGATGTGAATGGAGCATTTTGGCATGTACACCCTCAGCGTCCGATGTATTGTTGAGCCAACGGCGCGCAATGTTTCTTGTTTTTTTTTCTTGATCCACTTGTTGATGCAGACCACTCATTGCCTTCTTCCTGCCATTGACAATCTTCGTGATCGCACTGGCTGCCGTCGTACCTTGCCTCCTCGTGGTAGTCTACAGGGCTTTGCGAAGGTGTACCGATGCTGGTAAAAGTCAATCGACGGATACCCTGCGAATCGGGTCCTCCTTAACACTCTCCACCCACAGAATTTACCCTCAACTGGGAACCTCTTGTGGCCAGGACGGGTAATTCGATGGAAGTGTCACAACGTGCTTTGTAGGATCGACTCCAAGTGTTCTCAGGGCTGACACACATTTGTGTTCATGGGAAAATGTCCAAGTCAGGAGAAAAAATGTGCACCCAAGGAGATTCGAACCAGTATCCTGCCGCTGACGCCATGTGCGAAGGTGTACCGATTCTGGTAAAAGTCAATCGACGGATACCCTGCGAATCGGGTCCTCCTTAACAGCTTCTCACCTGGAATGATGCCTCAATCTCCTTCTCCGGCATACTTGGCCCTTTGGTCTTGAGAAGGAGGTGAATTTCCCTCGCAGACTCCAGTGTACAAGTAAATGTACATATCATACACGGCAGCACGTACGTATGGGAGAACTGTTCGTAGATCCTCCCTCACTGAATACCGGATGATGAGTATTCTGTAAACTGGACTACTGTACATAGTAGAGAACACGCATACATGCATACCTCTCTCTCGTGTACAGTATTACCGCCCTCTGGAACCCGTACGAGCGCACAGCAGAATTTTCGCCACTCGAGTACGATCCTGTTCGCTCCCAGGCCCCTGGCGCACCTTGTCTTCCTCGCGGGTGCTACTGTTTTTTTTCCGCCGAGTGGTTTTTCCTCTCTGCGAAACAGACGCGCCCACAGCCAAATTGAAAGTCGATCTCCCCTGGACGGTAGGATGATGAGCCTCTGCTACTCGCCATCACCACCACCCATGATTTTACTGGGGTTTCTTCTTGCTCTCGAAGAGAGTGAAGCGCCCTGCGCTCCCCTCAGGTGCCCGTCCTTAGATGTGTCGTGGATGCGAGTACGAAAAGAAACGCGAAAGACCGATCGGCTAGCAAGGACCTTGTGGGTGTTACTCTGTCTCGCTGCTGGAAACGTATGCTCCTGAGAGAGTCGCGTGCGACACAACCGCAACTCCGATACTATGGCGCAGTACCCTCCGGTCCAAGTCGCAACACCCTTCTAAGGTACAGGCGTGCGTGGCAAGTGAAGACGCGAAGACAAACAACCGCCCCACTGCCCATGCCATGACACAAGCAACGCAACAGCTCGATACGACAATAATCTCGCCGCATTTTTACTCCCGAGATGTATTTCACGGAGCCGCCACCCATTCTGCCTTTGTTCTGTTCTGCGCGCCCCCCCCCGCTTGCTTGCTGTGCTCGCTCTGGAGCCGCATGCATGTGTGCACGTCCTGCGCAGCAACTCGTGTGTGTGTGGTGGCTCAACGGATACCATGGCGAGATTTGCATGCTGCTATGCGTTAGTCGGTGTCTTCTCCAACATCGCGGTGAGATAAAGTAGAGAATGACCGCGTGAGCGGCTCTGCTCTGGGGGCGTTGTGCAACACGTTCTGCCACTAAACATGCAGCGATGGTTGCCCTGCCGGTGCCTACCTCATGATCTATGCAACAACCTATTCATGGATGCTATCTTAGGAGACAGCCAGCAACCGTACGTGGTGAGGCTTTCTGCAGCAAAAGGTGTGATACAATCCGAAAAGAACCATTGTTCACATCAGGCACTTCCGTCCAATCACGAATTAGCGAAAAGTGTGCGCTTGGTGAAGGCGGCTCGCTCTTCCGTTGATGTGAAACTTGGAAACGAGAAACGAGAGCTTGTGTTAGAAATTCAAAGAAGCTTCGAGCTCTTCGCAACTTCGAAAAGCCTGCAAGGTAGGTATTGGAGTCTGATTTAACAAGAAACATCACATCTCGAATACGCACCCATACGCACCCAGAGTCAGCGATGCTTTCCACTGCTGGTGAAACTGTTGGGAATTTGGCGGTCGACAGCACTACAATAGACTATGTGTATGTAGAGTTGCATTACAGAGTAGGTTACTGTCCTGGAGTCTTACCTGTGTGGATAAGGTGTGCTTTTAAAAGAAAAACAAGAGACAGGAAGCAAGTGGACCTTCCAGGTTCGAAAATTTAATTCATGTCTTCCATCACTGTCAACTCTTTCCGAAACAAGAAAAGAAAATATGTTCTTTCCTGACGAGTTCCGACAACTGAATGTCCAATTCCTGGTTGAAATCGGCATGGCAGGAAACACGAAAACACCACCAAGGTGTTCAGGTTTTCCTCGGTTTCTCAGACACAATGCCAGAGCGAAAAAGGAAAAACATCCTCTCTCAGCAAGGGCATGGATGCGCCTGGAGACAAGGCAGTTGTCGGTGTCCCTGGCCTTTGGAACAATCTTGCACCCCTGTTGTATGGCTACCGCATCAGGCCGAGAGATGGCTGCACCCCCCAGACCGACTTTCAAGGCTCGATTGCTCCAAAACCAAGGGGTTGCGGAAAGACCCTGATACATCCACGGAAATCGCCCGACGAGATGGTTCCAACGTTCCAGCACCACCAGTTGTTGGTTCCGGCGCAATTTTGGTCGTGGGGTGTAGTCGAGCTTTGAACATCGGTCTAGGAGGGGTGCCATCTCTCCGCCCCTTGCGGTATATATATACCACGGTACGTATACGGTACGGTACATACAATCTTGGTTGTAGAGCGATCGAGCTTTGAACATCGGTCTAGGAGGGGTGCCATATCTCCGCCTCTTACCGTATATATACCACGGTACGGTATACGGTACGGTACAGACAATCTTGGTTGTGGAGCAATCGAGCTATGAAAGTCGGTCTAGGAGGGGTGCCATCTCCCCCCCCCTTACGGTACGTGTCCAGGAAAGGGGTTGTGCTGTGCCTCTCGGTGCAGGGGAGTTTCGGAAAAAAATACAGTATTAAGCATTGACCACGCCTACTTGTACCCGCCTCTGCATTTTGAATCAAACCGACCAGCTGTTCCGGCCCGGCTTATGTTCCTGATCTTTCGCCGCACACAGACAACACAACAACAACCACAACAACAACAACAGCAACACGTTTTCATCTCCGCCCCACGTTGTCCTGAAGTACAACATAGAAGTTCTCCTCAATTTCCCACCGGTTGGTGATTTATCTCTTTTTCGGATCGCAGGCGCGAGCAGGGTTGGCGGCAGGGTTCTCGTGCGGTAGCGTGCAACACGTTAAAGGTGCGAATGACGTTCTTGGCTTCTGCTGTTGTAACCCCCCGCGATCTGCGGTGCTGGACTTGCCGCAGTTGCACCGCCGTATGGCTGGTAGCAAGTATGCCCATGAGATTATGCCCGCGACACGCGCCCGGCCACGTGTTAGCTTGGAATCCACGACCCGTGTGCTCCCGGTGTGATTCCCCGGCTAGCTCGGGACGGGGTGTTTGTGCAACAAGAAGTCCGCTAAGAAGGGAGAGGGCGCTCACCGACTGTGTGATTCGTGCTTGCACACCTAGGCGGCGGCGTCGCAAGCAGTAGCCTTCGCGACCAAGTCGGGGATTACGGTTAGGAACCGCCCCTGTCTATTTCATACTTGGAAGTAGTATTAATAGTACTATCCTCGCATTGGCGGTCCGCCACAAGCGGACTGCGCTTGGCTGCGGCACAATGGTGATTAGCCGCCCGTTGTCCTGAGGAGCCCCTCCATGTCGCTCCTCCGATTTGTATAGCCCAGAATAACTCAGAAGTGGGGCCGGTGCTGCCTGCTTCCCGCTGCTGCCGCGATGCCGCGACCTATTTTGTTGCGTGTTTCCGCTAATAAATCTCGCCGCCAGGGCTCCAGCGAGCTCTCGTGAGAGCGTTGCCGGGCGCGGCGCCGCGAATACCGGCGCGATGGCCACCCGCAGCCAACCCGCAGCCAACACACGCCCGGCCATCGGTATCACCGCTGGGGAGTAGCGCCTCCGATCTCATCTCGCGGGGCGGGCACGGGGGGGCGGGCACGGGGGGGTGGAGAGGGCGGGGGGCGGCCCTGAAGAGGATGAGGGGGGGGGGAGACGGGGACGACTGGCCGTTACGTTCGTCCTCGGGGGTTTCGTCGCCGGTAGGGGGAAGAGACGCAACGGAAGGCGTTGCCGGTGAAAAGGAGGTCGGGGGTGGCGGGCTTAGCGGCGACGGCGACGGTGGCGTGACCGTCAGCAAGACGAAACAGAGCCTTCTCAAGACGCTGTGGGAGTTTTCGCGGCCGCATACGATGGTGAGGGAAATAGCGGAGTACTGTCTATCTCGTCCCCGCTTTGAGGGCACCACAATTTTGGACTCTCTTCGCTACGATACGAAGGACGCGATTTTTTTGCGGAAAACATGGTGCCCCGTATGTAGGATTTATGGGGAGGGGTTTAGTTCTTGAGGGCATTTTCCCGCTGAAAGGACACTTTCTTTGAGCAGAATGACGATAGTCTTTTCACGCGAGGTCGACTCACCCGTGTCGCAAAGATCCCGAACCAGGTCTTGCGAGATCAAGAGACTGGGTTGATTCATGGCGGTGAGGCCCATGAGCCCCGCCCCGGGTCATCGTTTAGCTTGCCAGACATGTTTTGCGAAACGGTGTAGGGCACGTCTCACCACGCAAAATGAGGGGACTGGCGCCATATTAAATTAGGACGAAAACAACCACGACAACTCGACATCCACTCCTCGCTTCTTCATCCGGCGGGCGCTTTCAGCTGCTTCCGGAACGCTACCGCCTTAACCAAGCACCACCCACCGCTCGTATTTCTCCCTTCCCTTGTTTTGGATCTTGTCTGCTTGTCGGTGCTCCGCCAGATTGGGACAGCTGTCGCCATACCCGCCATCGGGGTGTTTGCGGGGCCCCCAGGTTTGTCTCGGCGTTTGTGTGGTAGGGGTTTCGTGGACTGCTGTGTATTGGGGGGGGGAGTACTCGCAAGTCGGTGGTGACTCCGATGTTGCTGGGTGGGCGGGGGGTGTTTACTGTTGGTATCGACCGCGCTTACCGGCTGACCGAGGAGAAAGACGTCAGTCTCCGTGTGGCTGAAAACAGAAAATGCTTCCAAAGGCCACGTGATCGATCTGGGAATCCGTGAGGAGGCTCCGGATGAAAATGAGAAACGGTATATAGCAAACAAAACAATACAGGGGTGTTTGTGCTAGCGTTTGCCCGTCCCACCTATCCTGGTGCTGCTACACTCCCTTCGTTGCATGTGTTTGACGTATCGTACTACAACTCTACCACCCACGATCACGTAGTAGGAACATCACGCAGGAGCTTCTGCTTTGCTTTGATGTGGGGTGGCCCAGCTGCTGAGTGCAAGCGTGAATGGTTTGATTTATCGGACCTGCTGTGTTTTGTGTTTATGACAGACGAGACTTGACGGGGCCGCCACGGCGGGGGGGGTGATCGCCGAAATTTTAGCGACACGCATCACCCAACAAGCTCACCGCCGGAGCGCCATCTTTCTTGCCTCGAAGGGCACGATTTTTTCGCGTTTACATCCTCCCTTCTCTGCCCCGGCTGCCGTTGTTCGATTTCAGGCGTGCTCCCCGGTCGTCGTTTTTTTTTGTCGATGCTGTGGGCGATGGTGCCCTCGCTGCTCATCAACGTGTACATCACGGGCCTTAACCAGGTGGGTGCCGTGCGTGTGCGGTGTGGTTTTGTGCGCGTGCTCGATTTGTCCGATTGGGGGGCACTCCTTTGGCACCGCGTATCCGCCGCTCGGTGGCGACCGCAGCCGTCTTGCGCGACCACGACCGTTTTCGCCGATGCCTTCCTTCGCTCGTATGTCGCCCCAGAACCGAAGTTCAAAAAAAAGGTTACAACAGTTGTGTTTTCAATTAACAAAGATGGGAAAATGTACCTTGTATTTGCACGCACCCCAATGTTTTTTAGTCTGGCCGTATGCACATGATCGGTGTGGTTCCACTTCTCCGAAAATTATGTGGGACGCACACTCGCCACTGGAGGATGACCGAACTTCTTTTTTTCTTCCAGCAAGAAACGCGCAGCCCCAAACGAACGAGATGCTTGAGGAAGGCATGGACAACCAAATAGGCCCGCTTTCGTCCACAGTACATGTTTTCTCCCGAAGTTCCGCCTGTTTGATGGGATGTTGCGTTTTTGTTCCCGCGGACGCGCCGCTTGGCCAATCAGATCACGGACGTGGAGATCGACAAGATCAACAAGCCGTACCTGCCGATTCCCGCAGGGAACCTCACGTCGCGAGCGGCGAAACTGACGGTGACGCTGTGCCTGCTCGCTGGCGCCGTGCTGGGCCTCGCGCCGTGCTCGCTTGGGTCTCCGGGGCTGGCGGTGGGTGGGAGTGGCGGGGGACCGGCGGCTGCGGGGGGGGGGGGGGGGGGGGGTTCCCCCTTCTGCCGGGGGTTTTTTTCCCCCCCCCCCAAAAGAAGGTTTTTTTTTTTTCTTTGCCCGGGGTTCCTTTTGTGGAATTTTCCTTGACCCCCCCCCCTGGGTGGAAATTTCCAAGGGGGGGTTCTTCTTTCCCCCCCGGCCGGCGGGGTTTTTTTTTCCGGGCCGGGATTAGGATTCTTTTTTTTTTTTTCCCCGTGGCCCCTCCCGGGGGTGGGCCCTCCCTGGGGGCTTCCCCCCCCCCCCCTTTTTTAAGGGCCCCCGGGGGAAATGAAGAGCCCCCCCCAAGACCCC